GCCGCGAAAGCACCCAAGTAGACCCTTATAACGCCGTTCAGTTTTAGGAAATAAAAAGTGAGGGTGCCATACTCACCGGTGAGTCGACAATAAGAGTCGGAGAAAGCGTCCCGAGTATCCGGGCTATAAGTTGCCCGTTGGGTTCATAATCCATCAGAATTGGGTACTGCTAGGCCGTACAAAACAAATTGAGCGGGGTGGAAAAAAAGCCGAAGAGATAACCAGAGCCGCAAAGTCCGTTTTTATAATTTTTTTGAACTGAATTATTCGTCCAAGTTTGAGAGACAATGACATTGAGTGAGGGAGGTATAATTCCTGACCAAGTTAACCGCGTTGCTCTGTATTTATTTACCCCCTATCCCAGATCAATGTGAAACCTATATAAATGCACTTGTGGAGTTGCAGCTTTAATTGGAGCTGACAGGTTGCTTTAGTTAAATTAAAATGCTGGTATTCAAACCTTCCCGCCACATTCGGTGGGATCAAGCCATGTGGAGCTCTAACATAGAGTTTCTAGTATTGCGCCCTGCTGTCTGAAGAAAACGCGGAATTTATGAGTGGAACTGACCAGCCGGTCAAGCTAACGTGCGTATAAAGACAATAGTAAAATAAGTTATTGTTCCACAAATGCTACGCTAACTGTGTTCCTTCGGTGAAATATAAACTTTGGTTCGTAAGGCCCCGTTAAGGACGCTGAGGAAATTATTCGGGATTCGGAAGTGAAACGCAGCCGAGACTTCCGGCTACTGCGCACCGCCGTTACTACCGAGTCAGTATCTGTCAATGGAATGGCTCGGAACCCTCGGCGCAATGGCAGATTCTGTTCAATCTTTCCAACCGGCGTCTAACCGGGCAGAGTTGCTCTGGATGCCTGAACAAGCGACTTCAATTATTCGAAGCTCCCGCTTGCTTAGTAGCGATATTGCCTATCGAGAAGCACAATCCAATAGGCTAAGTAGATCCAGGGTATAACGAAGAATTATGGCTTCCAACTTCAACAGTAGGTTAGGGTTCCACACCGCCTGTGGCCAAAGACAATTATTACCCGTGGCCCAGCGACGGGTGTTTCGCTTTCTCTAAAGTGATACTTTTCTAGAGTGAGCTGCAAATTTCCAGTGTAGACACAAGAACGAGCCTACCTCTAATGTACTGCGGTTAGCCGGGGCAGAATAGTATACATTAGTGCTGCATTAGTAGCCGTGCCATTCGATCCGCCCACATCATGAACTCCACCGCCCCGTATGCGATCTCTGCGACGGATCGAACCAGCCTGATCGTTAGTCGAGACTCTTTTTATGTCTTGGATAATCCTAGTGGGCTTGATTCGACTATATATGCGCCTCACGATCAATGGACCGGTGCAGATTGATAATGTGGTGGTGCTTGCCGGAAGTGTAAGTATACCTACCTCGCCGTTCTTCCTCAGCACCCCCTTTATTTGAGAAAGGTAAATTACTCTGATAATTTTTGGGTTCAAGAGACGGCATGATGATCTTTTGTGCTCATATAGACTGAGTCCAAGTGCGAGGAATGATTGTTGATCTTGGAGACTAAACTGATCATGATCTCCCTGCGCGTGCGGGACCCAAGATTTAGTCAGAAAATTCTTGGGTCCCGTTGAGCCGGAACCCGCGAACGGGTCTCTGTTCGGCATTCGTCCATCTCCTGATTAGGTCATGGATTACGATTTCAGAGTATTGCGATTTGCAAGTCAATTTAGGGTGAGGTTAACAGATAATAGTCCTATCACTAGTGGTAGGCAGAGAATGCATTGTCTTCGATAGAAAGATGCTCTTCAGAATAAAAGAAGAATTATTAATAACGGGTACAAGAGAAGAGAGAAACAGAAAGAATATGTATAGCCACGCAAAAAACTCTATTAAGCAGTGTCTGGCCAAGGAAGCGCCAGTTCACCGCTTAACAGGCTCTGGGGGAGTGGCCGAAACAGACAGTTGGGTCAACCTCTGCCCGCCCCTCAGTACGAATTCCACACCCTAATATAATCAACCTCCATCTGAACAGCCTCGCCATCCAGAGTAGTGGCATTGGGTTGACCAGGCCAATTCCCACCCACGGCAACGTTAAGCAGCAAGAAGTGGCCCTTGTGTGCAATTGCCTCCCACGTAGCCGAATCATTGAATCTGGACCCTGATATCTCAAAGGTTTTCTTTCCATCAAGATACCATGATAATGTTTCCTTTTTCCACGTGTTTTTCCCCATATGTTTTCCAGCAGCCGTACGTCGGTCAACCTGAAAGCCAACAGTATGCCAGTCACAGCCCGTCCATGCCACACCACCATTTCCAATCCCATTATATTCGTTGCAGGGCCCTCCTGGTGCATACCCACAATGAAGTGTACTATACACCGTTGGCAAGCCGTTCACAACTTCCAAGATATCCCACTCCGACACATTAGGCCAACCAGAATAGCTTGGCCTAAAGTCAGTTCCTAGAGCCCAGAATGCAGGCCAGATCCCTCGTTGTCTATCACTGGGAGCACAGCCCGTTCTCAGCCTGCTCTCAATATAGAGTTTACCGCCTGCTGGAGCTGCAAAATCTGAGCGTCGAGTTTCAATTCGCGCAGACGTCCATGTACCGTTGGATGACAAACGTGGTGTGATTGCAAGAGTACCGAAAGGAGTGACATGTATATTTGCAGGGGAGTTTGTGTATATCTCAGCCTCATTATTTCCCCAATTTTGGGGAGCGTCAACAGTTGGGTACCTGGTTCCTAGGTCAAAGACCCACTTCTCAGACGAGGGCAAGCTGTATGGATGATATTCGAATTCATCGTGCCAGGTCAACTGATAATTGACAAGTTCAAGTGATATTGCAAGGCTAGGCAACAGAGGGCTGCGTTCCTCAACTGCATGGTGATGGCGATGAGAGAACCCCTTTCGGGCTGCTGTGGCACCGAGAAATAAATAGAAGACACTAATGAACGGCAACATGTTTCAAAAGAGTGACAAGATAAGGAGTGACGAATGGTTTTGATAAAAGAAAAGACAACTGTAAGGCAGGCTGAAGAGGCGATGGAGCAGTCTAGAAAGCGGCTGGGTCACGCCCTAATATATATCTGAGGTAGTTAAAAAAATTCCATCGTGCTCATTGAATAAATGAGCATTTCGAAAGAAGATCTGATCTTCATATTGAAACTCCGGAATCCTTGCAATTTTGCTGGCACCACATGTTGGTCTAATTATCCTGATTTAAACTTTCTCTATCATTTAGGTGCATGTCTGGGGAGGTAAATTTTGGTTGACACTGTCAGATGGTGGTTTTGATTAAGTGACACAATGTAAGCCTATATATAGAACATAGTCAAACCAATACAGTGCAGGCGTATCAGTACCCAGCTCCAACAAGAACAACTATCTCGGAATACGAAAGTTTGGGGTGGGGGAGAAACGAATTTAGGTTCTCCACTGAATTTCCGCTTTTTGACTGTTCAGAAACTGGGAGTGGTCAGTATGAGAAAGGGGAAATATTCTTGCAACCCCACTAAGAAAGCTGGGGCTCTTTATTGGACTGATGTACGGAGTATCCAGGTCCCAATTTACACTCCAATCGAAAGGGAATGATAACTGAAAGCAGTTGTTCAGGCACGTTCTCTCCCGGCATGTGACGGAAGTCAATTGGAAATTTCAAACTTTAAGACTGAGTTAAACCATTTCCGGTCGTAAAGGCGATCCGATGGAGGAACCCGCGCGTTAATGGTGAAAAAATACTTTCCTCTCCCTACGATTTTATAATTTAATTGCGGCCAGATCGGACGATTTTGGGAGCGGTGGCTGACTCGAATTGGATAATGGTATGCTTGGCGGGGTTGAAAATTGCTAAGTGGCGCTGTCAATACCCAAGACCGCCACACGACAGGGAATATGGCATCCGATAAAATTATTACCATTGTAGCTGTATTTATTTGTAATTCTTATACTGTACCGTTGAGCTGGAACTCTAACTATTCTCATTGGTGACTTGAGGAGTAACTCTGCAGTTTGGAAGCCAGATTCATAGAAATTGTCCTGTTCCTTGTGTGATACGACGAATTCCGGACCGCAATTTCTAGATGCCAATCCGGCCCCTGGCCCGAGTACTTGGTGCTAGGGGGAAAACACGTACACGGTAGAAAGAGGGAAACAGCTCGTTTGGAAAATTAAGCTTTTGATGAATGGCAGCGCTGCGGCCCGAGCGGCCGGCGCATCCTTGGCCTGTCGCGTCCTTTCTACACTGTAAATTCTCAGCACTCTCAACTCTGGCTGCCGCCCAAGTATACCCGCACTGCCCTCCGTGCTATTGGCCGCTACTCCTTCAGAGATAAATGGAGTTTCTCGGCGTCGTTTTCGTTCCGTCTCTTTTTTCTCCTTTGCCTTTTCCTTCCCACAGGTCGCTCGCTACACTCGAAGCATTTCTGCTGGTGCCTTTAAGTTTTTCGGTCCACTTTGGCCGTTCTTTGACAACTGTGGACAATATTCAGGCTTATACTACCGCTGCGTTTCGGAATAGGCCGGGACAATGACAAAATGACAGATAATGTTCCTCTTAATCTGGCAATGAAACTTAAGTAATTTGGACAGATACTCCTAAGACCACCATCTAGCTCTCATCTATGCATCAGGTCAGGCCGCCACTTAGAGCTAAGCTCGGCATATTCAACGAATAGCTGCGTGCTTCTATCTACAAGTTGTCAGCGAGTACGTCTAGTATGCGACCGCCAACCCAGCGTTCGCTGCGGACCGATCCACAACCCCTCTTTCTCACCGCGTGGAAAGGCTTGCCAAAGCTTGGCATCATCAATTTTATTCCGAAAGCGACTCAGCCAGATGCAATTGCCATTCGAGGATACCCGGAGACTGCGTGGGAAAAACAAAAGGGTACCAAAGGTTGGAAGTGTACAGTGACACCTCGTAAGTTCTAACAACACCCCGGCCCCATCAAAATATCTCCAATTTTCAATGCCCTTTTCTCTTGAATGAACTCGAAGAACGTTACCGGCGGATGGAACTCGCCACGTTCTGCGAGCTGTTCGCCCAGCTTCGCGAAACCACTGGCGAGCGCTGCGGCAGTGCGCGCGAATTCGTTGATCATGTACGGTTGCTGGTACATCGATAGAATGCCATCGCGCCCGGATCGATTGGCGATCGAGCACACATCGCGATCTTGCTGACACAGATCGGACCGGAATATGTCCTGATTGTGGATGCCATTCAGAATGACAAGGATCCGGTGAGTCCGACCGCGATCGGAAACCGTCTGTCTAATGCCGAACAGACGGTTCGGAGGAAAGAGTCTCTAACACCCTTGCAGGCAGCGTCTGGCCCGTCCGTCCATACGGTGCAGCAGACTGCCAAGAAATGCAACTATTGCAAGAAGCGCCGCCATGTGGCCGCGCAGTGCTGGAAGAAACAGCGAGAAGTACAGCCGTCCAGGGACCATGCCCTGAAGGCTGAACGGAGTGTTTCCGGCTCGCCAAGAAACAATTTACAAAATATACCATCAAGCCAGATGGGAGATTGGCAGGGCCCGCCGACTTCATGAGACCGAGGATCAATATCGTGAGGGCGAGGGTGACGACCCTTTATACCCACGCACCGCAACCCCGGTGGATCCTGGACTGGGCCGCCACCAGCCACATCTGCTGGGACCGGGGCTGCTTCAGTAGTCTGCGGCCCTACCGCGAGATGCTGGACACGGCGGGCGATCCAGTGGAGCCGAAGGGATTGGTACGGTGAAGCTCACGCCGCGGGGGAAGTGCAACCAACCGCTGGTGTTAAAGAATGTGTACTTCGCGCCACGCGTCGGGATGAACCTGATCAGCGTGCCGAAGCTGTTGCGAGGCCGCTACTCGGTGGTGGCGCACCCGCAGAACGTCTTTGTGCAACGCCGAGGACGGACGGTGGGGACCGCTTACCACGCGGAGGAGGATCTCCTGATCCTGTGGTGCCATGTGAGCAAAAGGTCTCGAGAGCGAGTCCAACTGGCGAGGGCGCCGACGACCCATGACCATGCAGATTCCCTGGAACCGCAGGCGGTGGTCATGGACGTCAACGAGTCTTGGGAGTTAAGTGACGCAGAATGCGCAACGTCAACCTCTGAACTCGGTAGTGAAGCTGTGATACTCGAAGAAGATGCGTGCAAAGGAGTGGACCAGGCCTCCGAAGCGTTGTGGCACGCTCGGATGGGACATCTGAACCGGGGAGACTTGAGGGTGGTCCTCCGGCAGACCGGCACCCCGTACCGCCCGCTGACCCAGGCGCAGCTGCTGGAACGCCGCAGTGCCCGGCGTGCATGTCGGGTAAGCAGCATCAGAAGAGGAACTCCCTGCAAGGCGGCCACGTCTGCACTCATCGAGAATGTTTGAAACGATCCATTCGGACATTATGGAAATGCCGATTGCCAAAGATGGCTCCAGGTACGTGATCACTTTTACTGACGATTATTCTCGTGGCTCGTGGGCATATATATGCCATGAGATGGAAGCATGAAGCGCTCCAGAAGTTCCGCCAATTTGAGGCCTGGGTGCATGAAGGCGCTGAGGTGGAGGGCGTAAGACGCGATGGAGCACGTCGGCCCCTTGGTCTTATCTGACTCGGCGGGCATAGGTTACTCGCCACAACAGTTTTCGAGGTTGGTGATGGGCTGCTCCTACAACGGCATGAAGATGTCAGTGGTTTTTGTGTTTGGGACACCAGACTTGGCACAGATTATCGGACCCGGCGCAGCAGGAGGCGTGACATTGCACTCACCTCATCGTGCACAACGAACGTCTGGGGCTTATGCATCCTGCTGTTGGCCCGCGGCATGGTCTGCAGTATTTCACATAGGACATGTTGCATGGTTTGAAGCGACAGGGCCAGAAATGGTGTGTAAGCCATGACTCTGCGTGGAGCACTGACGGAGTGCTGGTTCGGGCTCACTTTGGTGCGCTGTCAACGGTTTCCTGTCCATCATTAGCTTTTTGTCGGCGAGACAATGAGTGACTTACCTGTTCTGAAAGAAGACACCGGAAAGGGTTCGTGGCTTTGCGCGCCAATGGACGGAACGCATGGATAGTTCTTTCGCATCGTCTTTGAAGTCAGTCCAGTTTCGGAAGGGTCGCGTTGAAATCTACATACCTGTGCAAAAACCTCTTTTGCATCGATATATTCAGGGGCGGGACAGTGGTCGGCTGCTATGGTGGACAGATGTTCGCATAGCTGCTTTGACCAGCTAACCCCAATCTGCTTCTTGATCGGCTGGCATGGGTGGCATAGTGGACCTGGTGGGAATCTCATTCGCACAGGCACTTTCTAGCTTGTCGGCCCACGATGTACATCCCCTACCAAATGTTCCTTCCCACTCCACTTTTTCGGGTCCCCTCTCAAAATATATATATCAGTTACACAGTATATAGCACCACCATTTTATGGTCTATAATAATATAATTAAATTTCAGGGTTGCTTAATAATAGCACTTTCAAAAATTCGCTTAATATTTTGTGTAATACCCCTTAGCCTTCCGCACTGCCTTCAAACGTCTTCCCATGCTCAATATTAGCGTATCTATCTTTGCCTGATCTAATGCCTTCCAAGCTTCCACTAGGCATTTTTTAAAATAATGCCAGTCTGCCTCCGACCTTCCCATGCCAATAAGCTCCGGAAATAATGCAAAAAGCTTCACTTTTAACCAGCGCCATACCGGTTCAATTGGGTTCAAATCGGGTGAGTGCGCGGGCCAGTCTTCGACGTATACTCCGTGAGTTTCAAACCACTCTTGCGTGTCCTTCGCTAGATGAATCCTCGCGTTATCTTGCTGAAATACTAAATTAGGGGTGTAGATTGGCATCAGACCTTTTTCGAGCGTCGAAATATACGACTTCGCAGTATAACCCCTCCCCGACCGCGATTCTTTGTCCCGTTCCATAATTATTAATTCTGTTCGACCTCCTAGCCAGATTCCGGCTCAAACCATTTGTGAAATATCTTTAACGTGAGCCTTAGCATTCACAAGGTCCTTACGAAGGCCCTCCGAGGTTGTACGAAAGCACCATTGTGGTCCAAAGTTCGAGGTTCGTTGCACCGAACACTCGTCCGAGAAGATCCACGATTGGAAGCTTTCGCGTCGCCATTTTCGCGCAAATTTTAGCCTCTTCCTTGCAAGAGGAGGCTTAATTGGTATTTTCTGTTTCGATCGCCGTTTTCCGAGTCCGAATCGCTTCAAAATTCGACGTATAGTGGAGGGTGACGGATGCTGAGCTGTAGCAGCACTTAGCTGTTTATAGGTCCAAAACGGATGCCGACGTGCCTGTAAATAGAGATGAGAGCAAGCGCGCTCACTAATAATAGCGGGACGGCCGCTTTTTTCGCGATTCTCTAGCTTTTCGCCTTCTGAATAGCGTTTTAGCGTATTGTAGATTGTACGCCGAGAGCAGCCAAAGTCATTAGCTAATTGCACTTGCGTAGCGCCATTCTCGTGAGCATAGATAATAGCTGACCTTTGGGACGTAGATAGCTGCGCCGTTTTGCTACTTTTTGGTCCTAATTTCATTACAATCGGAGCAATAGGGGAGGTGTAGGAGTGAAAAAAAAAACTTGGGTTGGTTGTTGGGCCAATATAGTGGGGCGGAGTGGGAAGGAACATTTGACTAGTATCTGTATTCATAGATGTCAGTACAGTGGAAATTTCAGTAGGGTTGAAGGGAAGAACTTATCAGTTTCCTCACACGCAAGGCCTGCTCGACTTTGCGTGGCCAAGTGATGGAATTGTAAAACAAACCTTGTGGGGAGAGGACGTATTTATAGGCTTCTCAGCTCCTGTCGCGTACGTGCTCTGCTAGGTGGCAAACGTTGAAAGACACAATGCCTATCCTAAGTGAGGCCTGTTGTAACATATACCGCAACTATTTGCAGCAAATTTCTTGGTTTGGCTTTAGATGCTCACCGAGAAAGCATGCTAGAGTCAAGTAGAGAGTGAGTCAAAGTAACAGGAATATCCTGTATAGCTAGGGAAATACAATGGATGTACTAGGCGATTGGCGCAACGGAATCAAAAAGGGGAACTACCCAAAATGATGAGATCAAAAGAGTGTTGATTCCTGTCTCCTATCTACTGGGATCGAGGGGGTTAAAATAGCCTCGAGAATACCTGGTATCGAATCCTCTAGAATCCCAGAGGTACCGTTTGGGTCAATACGATGCTGATCACCATTTTCCTGACAATTTGTATTGCCTGGCTCACTACGCTTGCACTTGGTCTGTATAAGTGACGAAATTCCCAAGAAGGCTAATCCTACAGTAGTGCTCTGAAATCATGCGCCATATAGCAAGGTGCGATCCTTAGCAGTTGATACTCGCACAGTAGTGCCACATCTATCGACTTGCGATATCCCACTCAACGAGAAACTGCTATTTGTGATTGCGTTGGACCAGAATACTACGGCAAGCTTTGGCTGAACGCTGAGAAGAAATAATGACTATAATGCGCAAGAGAAGCGCGGCTTTCTCCACGAAACCCATAGCACAGATATTAGCAATATACGGATCGGACCGTTGGAAATGCGTTTACTTTACGGCAAGGGAACCCAGTGTGTAACAAATCCACAAGCCCGCGTGGCAGGGCCTTTCTCTCATCCAGAGCGTATCCGGGCGTCTCGGCCTGGAGCGGTGTGATGTCGAATACTCTACGGCTGTCTCGCCAGAAGTAAGAGTCCAATCTACGCTTATATTTATTTATGGCATAGTAAATCGACCATGGAGGTTGTGGCGGACTCTGCCGCTAATCTGCACCGAATACTGCCTCGAGCCGCCCGTGCTCGGATCTATTAGACAAAAGCACATAGCCCTCCCCTTCAGGGCAATTAACAGAATTGACAATACACACAGTTTGGCACGGTACATGTATAGTAAGAATGTGGCGAAATGCTTCTTCATGAACTATCTGCGTCTCGGCTACATTAAAAAGCCAGTCGTCTGCAGGAAAGACATGACTCGTAAGAGTTTCGGTCCTTTCCATACATAGAAGCTAGCTCACTCCATCAGTAGGACCTTGCCCAATCAACACACCCCAATTGTGAGACGAAGGGCTCATCTCAGTTGGTGGTAGGTAGTTCATGTTGAGTACCAAGCGGGACATTGTCATTGTTCGATTGGGAGATGCTGGGGAGCATATCGTGGCCAAGCGTACCCGCGCCGCCCTGATCAGGCCATTCTGCCTGGATCATTCCGGAGCCTGGCAAATAGGATGCCAATCGTCTGTTCTGAAAGGTGTCGATCGTGCTCCAGAATCGAGTGGTCGCGGAAACCAGCTCTGCGTGTGCCTGATCCAACACCAGCTGTATATCATTCCACGGGACCTGATCTTGCAAAGCGGTGTTCGTGGATTCCACTTGCTGCTGCAATTGGCAAATCTCACGCTGAAGCTTCTGCTGCTCGGCTAATGCAGCATCCCTTGCCGTAACTGCGATTTGCAATTCCGAACCCTTTTGCGCTTTGTCGGCTTCGAGCTGGTCCAGCAACTGAGAAAGATCGTGGTTCTCTCCATCTCTCTCCTCAAGCACCTCTTGAAACTCCTCCTCAATATTGTTCATCACCCTGAGACACTTTCTATGCGTCGCTTTGTCGTTTTTCCTTTTGGGCTTCTTCGTAATGGAGGATGTCTAGCATGGTCAGTAAAGAGTACATTGAAATAAAAGGGGTGCCACCGTGGCTATCCTGGCCATAGTGCAGTACGATTCGAAAGGTGAGCATCGGCGTACCGAAGTTCTGTATAATTTCGTCTCTGGTTTGCGTGACTTTCGCCTATCCTTGGTCTCAGAACCAGTAGAACGAAGGGAATAAGACGGTGCAGCACGCCGCCGTACGCCGTCAGACCTGAGGTCTGCGTCATCTTGAGGATGCTTGGGATTCTTTGCCATGTTCGAACTTTTGTTTTTCTCAATCAATAGTGAATCAACCAGGCACAGAAGGGATGAGAACAGTATCAGCAGTGACCTGCCGAGAATCGAACATTATATAGGAATAGGGAGAGGCCTAAACGTAAGATCGGAAACAGAGCAGGGCTCCTGCCAAGCAAGTGCGTCGGGACGAGAACCACGAACTCAAACGATTGAGGACTACTTTATATGCCGGACTCCGCGGAGCGTTAGCGCGAACGCACTAAACATCTGCCCTTCGATTTTACTGTCGGAGATGCGAGCAATTAGCCCGCACAAAGATGCATGTGGATACACAGTACCTTTTCACAGCATGAACAGGGCAGCCTCATATTATTACAAGTAATATCACGCATTAATTACGATGTTCTTTAGTGAATAAATTCAGTCCAAACAACAGGCTCAACAAGAACCAAGAGTACAATGGAACCCCGACAACGAGTAAGCAATGTGTCGTCCATATTGTGTGATCACTAGACTAGTTTATATGGTTTAATGAGGGTTCGGATGATAGGCTGCGAAATCGATGTTTTACGCCTGGAGTAATCACTACGATTGATACATTCCAGTGATTTTTTGGAACAAGACTTAGATTCAGGACGAAATAACTCAGGTTTTCAACTGGTATAGGCCAATTCCTAATACGCCTGTGTATTTTAAATGCTATCATAACCATAATTCCTAGTTTACGTGGGTCGCGCCTTCTTTGGACTGTTATGCTTCGCTTTTAGTGCGTGTGTCCATGTGGGGGACCTAGCCCATCTAGTGTAGAAGAAAGAGTCACTTTGAAGTTGCAACGTAGCAAATTCACCCTCCAGATATATTATTTGCAGGAATTCTTAGTAATATTTTGATACACTATGTTTCTCAACCACCCTGCTCAAGCTCTTTGTACCCACTTTGCTAGTATCTCTCGCTCCGAACCTTTTCATACATGTGCATTGCTAGAAGTTTTGCGCCAGCTTCAATCTGGAAATCTGGCTATCAATTATTGGCGCATATCACTGGCCGTATACAGCCTCTGCGATCCGCAACATGAGGACTAGAATATTCGGTGGGCTCTCAGCGTACTCCAGCTGCTTCAGCCTTGTGCTTTTCTGTCAATTTTGATCTCGCTTAATGCTACATGCTGCCAAAGGCTGATGATTGGCTATCGTTCGCGCCGTAAAGTGCGATGTCCATTCTTTCTGATTGCAGCGAACCCAGTGTCTGCATTGCTCCAGTGATGCCCCTTCTCGTCTCTACCAGCTTAATTACAGGGTTGCCATGTGAAGTACCAGCCTGGTAGTCGACGGAAGCGACCTGAATGTCCTCCTTAGTTGGGAGCTCAAGCAGAACTTTACCAACGGTCTGCACATTGCTGAAAGCAGTCTTGTTCTTGCAACGGATCAAGCTCTGCACACGGAACGTGATCGTTAGGCCCAAAAATTCGATATCAGGTTCTTCTATGCAGAACCATTCCTTGGACCGCAGAACCGCGACATCCCGACCGGTGGCGAGGTTGACCTGCATAGGGCCCTCGTCCCCGCGCTGGAAGGTGTTCCCGAAATCCTCGTAATTACCACGGTACAAGAACTGGCTAGTGATGTGCATGATGGCCATACCATTACGCTTAATGGTACCGCAAACCTCGACCATCTTACCCGAATGCTGGTTGATGACAGCGTTAATCTGGGTACTGGTGTTAAGAACACATCGCCAACTTTAAGTGGCCGGGCGCCAGGAACCATTCTAAATCTATTAGACAAGTGGACAAGTCTTAGGAGGTCACCATCAATGGTGCGAGGGAAGATAGACTTGGTGATAGCTTTCCAGCCCACCACGATGGCGAAATCTATAGGCGCGAAGACCTCTTTGCCAGGACGGTTAACAAAAGCCTCACCGGTGTTACCGACAGCATGAACGAAATCGGCAACGGCCTGTGAAGTGATAGTTTCCTGCCCCCCTTGGAAGGTGGCAGTAGTTGGGGTGTCGAAAGGCACGTCTTTGCTACTAAACCAGATACGATAGTAGAACTCCTTGATGCGATCATTACGACCTTCCATGGCCTCACGGACAGGGGCGTAGCCAGTCTCCGGGTGGTAGGTAAAGAGGAAACTCAAGGGGACAACGCTGCGATCAGCAGTACGTCCCTCGAACAGAGTCAGGCTAATCTGGCCGTTCTCTTTCATCTTGGCCTCAACGGTCTTCACTAGCTTACCGGATTGATAAGGCTCCCTAACACTAATGAAACTCTTTATAAAGTCGTTCGATTAGTGATTTCCACATAAAGTCCAGCAACAGGGGTCACGATCTGCTTCAACGGATTGGTCTGGAACCGGTGGCCTTGAACGAAGACATCTGCCAAGAACAAGGCGTGACGCCAGGAGTAAGAGTCACCAGCAAGCAGACGAAGCCAGCGGTCAGTCTCGCGAGGGCCGACAGAGGAAGATGTAGATAGGTGGAAACTGATCTTATTGGTGTCCTCCGAGACAGTGAGACCTTCCAGCTCCTGCTGGTCGTCGGTGTTTACTAGCTGACCACTGAAGTACCCAATAGCAGGTATCTTGGTCTCCACCACCGTACATATCGCGTAGGAGGCCATTGATGTGGCCCTGGTGCACATCATCGAGGATGTCTTTAACAGGTTAGTCGATGATGTTCGAGAAACGAGCAGCCATGGGTCCCTGCAAGATACAAGTGCGACCAACATCCTGATCCCCAACAGCCTCAAGGTCCTCGCTCTGCGAGAGGGAATCCTTCTTTAAAAAATACTCAAAGATTTCATCCAGGGATGGGACTAAACGTGCTGGCTTCTGTCCACGGCGTTGGCAAAGCAGCAAGAAGTACTGCACGTCCTGAGCGTTGATCAATTGAGTGGCAGCCTCAGGGTAAGCCGTAAGAACGTCGTTGACAGCTGGATAAGGGGTATCGAGCTCGGAATAGCTCTGCAACTTCGAGTGTTGGTCATTGTTGGTGGTGAAACGCTCCTCAACACGGCGTAAAGAAGTCACCAGTGAGACGCTTCAAAGAGGAGTCGATCCATCGAAACCCATGCTTCACATACATAAGATCCACCATGCCGTGAATGATCTCAGCATAGGTCATACCCTCTAGATTGACGGTTTCTCCAGCGGTGTTGCGGCCGAACCACACCTTTTGGAAGTCATCATTTAGCTTTTTAATGATATAATCCCGCTGCTTCTTAAGCTCGGGGACATGCTTGGCTTTGTCGAGCTTAAAGATCTTCTGATCCATCTCCCTCCATAACATGACGCCTCTAGTTGCTAGCTTGTGAATAGGCTCACCCATCTCAGACTAGACGGTAACGACTCCACCTCTGCAGCATCCTTGTAGGTATTCTCCCACTCCATATCGTCGACGCCTGGGGCATCTACGATCGCCTGTTTAGCTTTCTTAGAGCTGTGGGCTTCCTTGGCAATCATTATACGACTACCGAACAGACATCCATCGCATGGCATGGCAGGGTACCCATATTTGGAAGACCATGTACCAGAAAGGTAAGGGTAAGTGTCCTCAGCTCCACCAAAAACCACTGCCAGCAACAATCACTATGTTATCTTGCTTACGGACGCGACCGTACATCTGAAGCGTTTGCCGGTGGAAGTCCTCGAACGAGTGGTGGCCATCGCCGCGGCCGCCAGTCCATTGCATGATGATGAGGAACTTAGGGTTGGTCTTGGCAATGTTGATCATCTGCTGGATAGCGTCAACGGAGCCAGGCTTAAAAGCGATACGTTTGATTCCGAGGGTCTCGATGTACTCGTTAGCAACCTCGATAGAGGGCACACCAGCACCGATTGTCAAGCCATCTATAGGGACACCATCGGCGCGCAGACTGGCCGATCAGAGGAATCTGCCAGGCCATGGCACGAGGGTTGCCATATACCAGATTAATTGCGATACCACGACCCGGGGGAATGGCCTTCTCGATCTTGGTGATAGCTTCGGGCATGGTCTTAGCATCATAAAAACCGCCGCCGCCCAGCTCTATGTGATATCCAGCATTCATCGTGGCGGCAACAAAGTTCCAGGCAACGGTGGTAGGGGTCATACCAGCCACCATTACAGGGGGAATGCCTAACAGGCGACTCATCTTGGTGTCGACGTATGTCTTGCCAGTAGAGGTCCGGACCAGACGCGGACCGTACTCATTAACCCACTTAGACGCGTATTTGACCAAGTGATCACGACGATCGAACAGCTCAGGCCTGTACCCAACCTCCACGTTCGTACCATCCATCTCACCCGCCACAATGACCCGAACACTGGTGCCGTCCTTGTTATGGCTGGTAAGAACCCCTAGGCCCGAGATGCCACCAGGTCCCAAATCAATGATGTGAGTAGCGCCGGGGAAACGGTGGCTTGCTCCCAATTGACGACATCGCGAGTAATCATACGGATTAGAGCTGGCACCATGTCGGTGTCACCCAATTAGCGCAGGTCTTCTCCCGACTGTGTATGGTAAACCGGAATGGCTAGGGACTCTGCCGGAATATTAGTGTCCTCTAAGTCTTTAATGATGCGGTCATACGCCGAAGTGATATACTGGCTGTGGAATAAAGCGGTGATAGGCAGGAAGCGGTTGATGAATCGAATCTTTCGCCGCATGAAGGGGACCCGGGTCTGATCCGACCCAGCGGGGGATTTGGCCTTACGCAGGCGTAGGTTGAAACCGTACAGGGAGATAGGAGGGCCAGTAACCACAAAGTTGCGCGCACTGTTGATAAGGTGATCGCGATATGGCGATCCCGGGCAAATGCTGGTTGGTGACATCGATATGCTCCTGGACAGCGGCCTGAGGAAGATCCCAAATTGAGAGCATAGGAGTCGGGGTACCCTCGCCATTCTCAATAGAGTCTTGCAGCATGGAAGGGGCAATCGATGTGTGAGGGTAGGCCTGCTGGCTGCGTAAACCGATCCAGAAAAGCATAATCAAGGCATTACGAGAGGCCTCAGCAAACGTCTCCCAGCTAGTCGCCGTGGCAATGGCGGCAGCAGTTATCACACCCTGAGAGTGGCCCGTAGTACCCTTGATGCGCTCGAGCAATTCGCCTTGCTGGCGGCCTAGGACATTACAGATCACCATGTAATGAGCCAATTGAACGAGGTTGATAAAAGGCAAACTAACGGGGGCTGACACCAAGTAGTCAGTATCGGGCTGGGCATCTCGATCCTTGAGCCATGGCATGATATCGAGGCCCTTTGGGTAAAGCTTCTTGGCTTCAGGCTCGCGGGAAAGTGAGTGCAAGAGCTCTTCAGAAGGCAGGATCAACTCCGAGATGAAGGATGGATAGGTGGTATAAATTGCACGCAGCTCATCGAAATACTCCTCAATGTTGCCCTGGCCGCCGAAGACCGTGTAAATGCCAGCTTCCTCGGTCGAGGCTGCACTGAAAAGAGCAGAATCGTAAGGCTTGGTGGGCCGGCCAGTGATGGCTCGTCCAGCATAATAGAACTTTACTACCTGCGTCTTCTTGGAGACAATTCCGGACAGAACCGCTGCCACGGCGTGGATATCGTTGCCGCGCATGACAGCACACTCAAACTCATTCAAGGCGAGCTTGAGGACTTCGAGATAGCTTCCTTGAGCATCGTCCTCACCCTCCTCAACCTCGCGAGCCACTTGACCAATATAAAGCGCTACCAATTCGGTAACAGAGGAAGGCTCACCATCCTGGGCCAATTCTGCTGTAGGTGCAGGTATTGAAGCAGTGAAGTAGTCTGTCAACTGCGAGGCATGGAAATGAAGCGAAGTAGAAACCAGGTAAGCGAATTCGAGGGGCCCATGAGAGAGGATGAGCGGTCGGAGGGATTGAGAGAAACGAGGCGTACTGATGCCGGTCTGAGAACTGGTCGATGTGTTGTACATGATGAAAGACTTCTTTCTCTTCTAGAGACTCAACTGAGACACGTGGACTGATTGACGACCTGCGAATATGAGCACGAGAGACACACAGGGTTCGGGAAATCCTTGAAGATGAAGAAGTAGGAATCGTCAAATTTGGAATAGAGGGCAGAAGAGAGACGATGACATGCAGGAATCCAGAGACTCACAATCATCCGCAAGTGGTCGAAACACTTGCTTTAACAATCAAAAGGGAGGTAACTCCAGTATCAAGGAAGAAAGGAGGGTTCCTATGTGCCTTTTAAGATCTAAATACACCAGGTGTGAAGCCCTCAAAAACAAAGGTCCGCTGTTGAACCGCAATCGGCCCAAGGTGGATTAGAGCGGTGGTTTCGGTCCAGCCGGTGTTCAGCGTGCAATTCTCGTACAGGGAAGGCCTAGTTCGAAACGTGAAGTGTAATTTTGAGTCATTCCTTGAGGAGGTGCCAAGGGTTCCTGGGGCGGTTGGGAAAGGGGGCCCTAAAGGGGAGGTGGAAACTGATCTCTGGCCTCGCTCAAAAGCTTATTACAGCTACTAGTGAGAGAAAGCCACGAGCTATGTAAGGATAGAGTTTTGCACTAACGTTAAGCGCTCATCTCCAGAGCTTAGTAACGCCGTGTCTTCCGCCAAGGCATCAGCTGCCTGCGTCAGAATTTCGGCCGAAGCTGCAGCGGGATCACATTTGCCCCGCTTCCGGCCTGGATGATGACCTCAAATCAATGTCCACCACCACGGCCTACTATGAACAGGACATGTTTACGGATATCCATTGTTACCTGTTTTACACATCGAAAAATTCAACTCTAATGTAGTAACGAATCATGGCTTTTCGGTTATTGACCCTAGGAATCTTTAGTGCGTTTATTTGCAGTTTAACTTGTTCTTAACCGTCTGCTGCTTACCATTTATTGCTGACTGTTAGTCGATCATTTGCAGTTAACCGTTCACCCTTCACCATTTACTGTCTGTTGTGAACATTGTTAATCTCTCATCGTTAAACGTGCACTGTTTCACCATCGCTGCGTTGCTGACCTATCTTTGCTCACCATATCTTTGTTGAACTTTCGTTATTGAATCTTTTTCTATTGCCTACCCGGCATGCTGGCGGACACATGACACTAGCATTGCCAGCTCCAGTGGTCATCGAATATTCGGTTACCTTGCACCTTGCCCTCAAAATAACTGGTTGAAAGCCTGTCAGACGCTGGAAAAGCAGGAGAAACTCGTGGCCATGCACCTTGAGATTCAAATTATCGCCGGGGATAAAGGCGACTCACCTCGGCTTTAAGCTACAGATGAAAGGTGATTGGGCCCGACGATGGCACCAAGCACGATGTTAATGTGAACGCGCAGAAACAATTCAATGAGAACAGTGTGTCCTGAAGTAAGCTTTCACTATTAATCAATGTAAAAATCGCTAGTTTGAGATTATTCGATATTCTTTGGTTGCGATATCCTGATTCAAAATTTTCTAAAGCAGTCGAGTGAGCGGCCCGCTTGTGTGAGCAGCTCGCTTGTGAAGTACGTTAATTAGGGGGTAACCCGAGTAAAGTTGGGGGTGCCCCTATCAATTCCTGAAAGCGCACACATCCGGTGGTGCAACCAAATCTGGCGGGATGGTAGGATGTGCAGAAAGCGGAAGTTGACTGTAGTTTGTGGAGTCAATCAGGAGTAAATCACCAAGTATCCCCCCAGCCCAATTCCACCTAGATGGGCAACTTAAACAAGCAAGCGAACGAGCTTCATTGGGAAGTCCTTCAACGTCCATGGGGTTTCAATGTCCTCGTCACCTGAAAGCAGTTCGGTGCGCAGCCCAGCCTGGAGGTCAATTTCCTGTAATGGCACCCACATGCGCCATTGCTTTGTGAAAACCTTCCAGAAAAGGTATAAGGCGAGGACAAGAGGCGCGGCCAGATACTGCTCAAAGAAGTACCCGGCGTCGGGAGAGGATCCAGGTGGCTGACAAGAGAAAGTTAGGAAACACTGGCTAGCAAAGGGACAAAGACGACATACCCAGACGGAGACGTAAAAAGTGGCAATTAGACAAAGAATATTAAGGGACAATCCGACATAGCTGCCCACAACTCCGAAAGGTGTTTTATAGGGAAGTTCGCTGAGGGAGCGACCTTGGAACACCCACGCTTTTCGGAATCTGATGTGGCAAAGACAGATACTGCCCCAGACGAAGAAGTAGCTAAGACCACTCAAACTAAGCAGCCACGTGAAGACTGTGGACTCCGCTGCGCTCTCGCCGACGAAAGCAAGCAAACCAAAAAGAATCTGGAGGATGATGGCATAAATTGGGCGACCCTTCTTATCAATATAAGAGAAGAGTTTGGGAGCCATGCCTCGCTCAGCCAGAGCCTGCAAGGTTCGACTAGAACCAAACGTGCAGGAATTCGCCACGCTTATAACGGACAGCGTGATGACTGCGTTAAATATTGAGGGAAGAACAGGGATACCAGCGTCAACAATAGCGATGACGAAAGGTGAGTCCTTAGTGTCGGAATCCGATGCATTCAGCAGACGGGGATCAGTGTAAGGCACCAAAAGACCAACCATCAGTAAGGTCAAAACGTAGAAGATAGCAATTCGCCAGAACACTTGACGGCTAGCAGCTGGGATAGTCTTATGGGGTGTTTTCGACTCTGCAGCAGCAAGACCAACCAACTCTGTTCCACCAAAGGCGAATGCTGCAACGACGAACACGGAGCAGAAGCCTGGGAAGCCATTTGCAAAAGCACCAGGCTCGTACCAATATTTAGCGCCGATGTATCCTTGAGGACCGGCACCACCAGTGTTAATGATTATGCCTAGGATAATGAATCCAAGACAGGCTGCGATCTTGATCGCGCTCAGGATGAACTCGACTGGGTAGGTTAGTAGCTCATTTTCATAGTAAGAATAGACAAGGCAATCAAACCTTCACCGTAGCCACGAACACCGAAAATTTGGATCAAACACAGGACTATCAAGAAGACTGTAATCCAAACACCGATGTTGATGTCGTCTCGCCAAAATTTGATGGTCAGACCAGCTGCGGTAATCTCGAAGGGAAGCACGGTCAACCACGTAATTGCGTAATCCCATCCAATCGCGAACCCCCTGTCCGTTATGTCAGTCCCAGTCAAAGCTCTAGTCCTAGCCCGGTACCGCATTTTGACCTACCAAGAGGGATCTACGAAGCGGACGATATAGGAAAAAAAAGCACCATTCACGGGATAAATGACAGCCATCTCAGCCAGCGATTGCACGGTGCACAGCAGCATAGCACCGATAATCAGATAACAGATGATCTGAAATCTGCTGTGTAAGCAAAAGGGGGCTCATATCAATCACGGGAAGATTTTATCGATCTTCATACCAAACTAGCTGGGCCACCAGTAGACAAAGCACCCCCTGTTCCAACAAAAAGACCCGCTCCAATAGCACCGCCTTGGCAACCAGTTAGTTAAGACGTCCGCAAGCCATCTCCTTAACGGACCCACGACATACCAATAGCAATCATCTGCATGTGGCGGCCTCTCAGCTCACGTGTCAGCGGCGCGGCCTTGTTGACAATTCCAACATCCTGATCATAAGGCTCGGGAGGCTCGCTCATGTAATTTTTAGCTTCACGGTCTGGTAGGGACTTTGAAACGTCACCGTCCGCCATGTTGATGATCGGTTTAACTCAGAAGCAACGGAATGAATGAATGAAGCGAAGTGGTTGAAGAGAGGAGAAACGAAAAAGGAAGGACAAACACAGGGGTTAATAATGAATCGCGTGAGGCTGTTCGGAAGTGGGCTATCAAGGAACTTTATTTCTCTCAAGGTTTTCATATGAAACGCTCGGATCCGATGATAACCTTCGAAAACAATATAAGCAGATGACAATTTGTGTCCACATTATGGTACTGTGGACAGTGGCCATGGAACCTGAAACAATTTCTTGTATTTACGAGAAGAACTCCAAGTGGCGTACAAATTACGCTCAGTTCCTCCAATTTGAGCGTCTGTTAGAACCGCCCATGACCCGCTCCTATCTCTAAACTCCAAATGGAGCAGATTTACCCGAGCCGCTATCCGCTAAAACCCCAAATTGCTAAATCTAAAAATGCTGTTGCAAGGTATCCTGTCGTCGCGCGGTTGATGCTGGTGTAACTGACAAAAAGAATGAGAGGCACAGGGGGGTTCTGAGGTGGGGGAACACTTCGTGTTGAAATGGTGGACCTGGGTGGTCTCATGATAAGCTTCTGTCTCTCGGGAGCCAAGGCCAATTGGCCAGTAAGCCTTTTTAATCCACCCGGATCACCCAGATAAGCATAGTACTTATCGCGAAACGGCAGTGGACCTGGTGGGAATCTCGTTCTCACAAGTACTTTCTAGCTTTCCGGTCCACAATGTGACTGTAAATGTCATTATAGTGGGAATCCAGTAGGTCAAAGGCAAGTACTTATCAGGTGCCTCAAACCGAAGGCCTGCTCGACTTTGCGCAGCAAGTTACAGTATTGTAGGAAAAATTGCTGAGGGAGAGGACGCATTTATAGGCTTCTCGGCTCTTGTCGCGTACGTGCGATATTATGGAGCAAACGTTCAAGGAAACGACGCTAACGTATTTCCCGGGCGAGTGGCCATCCCGGTCGAGTGGCCACCTCAAAACACCATACTAAATCGGATGAATTACAACGTAGTATCTCAACAACCACGTTTAAACTTTAGCTCCTTATTTATCGATGGACATAGATAAGACGCATTTGTACTATATATCAATTTCAAAGAGAGTTGAAGACTATGTCATCGTGGTTTCGAAAATTACCGAAAATTACAGTGCTAAAAACCAGAAATATATATATCTTAATCAGTACGTTATAAAATTCTTTTAAACCCCTTGAAGAGTCTTAACAATTTCCTAAAAAGTATTGTGCTATAAGGCAAATTCTCTATAGATCGCCGTTGTTAAGGTAGTGAGTTGTAATTTATCCGATTTAGTATGGTGTTTTGAGGTGGCCACTCGACCAGGATGGCCACTCGCCCGGGAAATACGTTATCTTACGTGAGGCTTGTTTCAACCCCTGCTTTCATTCTACCGCCACTAGTTGCAGCGAAATTCTTGGTGTCATTCTAGATGCCCACCGAGAAAGAAATGCTAGTCATGTTGCGAATGAGTCAAAGTGAGTCGGTGAAGAAACGTTGGCTCACTGTTGAACCTACGGTCTTGATATTGAGGCACTAGAGGCTGATCATTCTTTGATTTCACCAAGATCGCTCAAAATCTCAAGTATCATGGAATATTTCTGGCCTCGCTCGATTGTTGATTGTCTGAGCTGTGTGTGGTTCTGTCCGTCTAGGCTGCGGAAAGCGTCAGGCCGTGGTCGCGCGGGCGCCGGTGCTCGACCCGTCAACCCGTTGAAGCTCGGCCGTCCTTGTTGACTGGAGTCAACTTTTGAACTTATGATTGGTACTAAAATACAGTGTTCTTTGACTTTCATCTCTAAATTTTACTCTATTTACTTTTGGGATTTGTGAGCACTCCGACGAATGTGAAAATAGTGTTGTGATTGAAGATATATCTCCTGGGCTGTTCACACCAGTGAGCCACTAAATATGAGGATCTTCACCGACCATCAACACCACCAGATTCAAATTAGCACCATCATTGAACGGGCTAACACAGCGCTGAGAAAGCCTCGGATTCTAGGCAAAGCCCGGCTGCGTTGTTTGACTTTCATGGTGGTACCGAGACTGAATACCTCACCACCAATGTCTGTTAGTCTATAAAACCCTCCAAGAATTGGTGGACATGCTATTGCCCAGATACTCGACTTTCTCCTGCAATCCAGATGGATGCCCCTAACAGCACGCCAGACCAGGAAAAAGAAGGAGAAGAACAGCCCGGTGCATTACCAATCGTTTCTGAAAAAGACAATTCGCAGGAAGCTTCTGATCATATCCCTCCACTGGTAAGTAAAGCGGCTCAGCTTCCAATGCTCTTGCTGACCACTGCAGCTCTCTCCCTCGCAACGGAAAGCAGAGACAAGTCATACCTTAGCGACTGAGCCCTTTCAACTTATTTTGAATGTGCTAGCAGACCTCGAACGCGACGATCCAAAATTCGCCTTTCCCGCAGCTCGACTTGTTGGACTCTATTGACATCTCTGGGAGTCCTGTGTTTCCAAGCATATCAATGGCCAGAAGGTAGAGCAGAGCAATCAGACCTTGAAGGACGCTAGCGCATACCTGACTAAAGAGAGGGACGGACTTCAGCTGCGCCACGGCAAGCAGCTATCTCGGCTACGCTTCTTTGAGCAGGCACTGGAATCGTCTCGGGGCCGACTGACTATGTACTCGGGGAATGGAACCACCCTTCCAGACTCAATGTGACAGGGCTGCCAGACATGGTAAGAGAAGGTTGAAAGATTGTATATTCATGACTGTGCTATGTCTTACTTTCCCAGCTTGGATAATACAACGAGTTGAAATTGGAAGGGAATTACCGCATGTACAGAAGCTTAAAAACTTTCCAAGTGATTACAGTAAAAAAGCATAGAATATCCTTTGTGGAATGGATTTACGAATGATCCCGTATGTTCTGGTACAATCTCAGTTGTAAATCATGGTACGTATGGGGTGATCTTGAATGGCTACTGATGTTTGACTGAAGACGTATGTGTACACAGCCTTATGCTAACTTTACCATTGTTTCGAGTGGCGCCACAGGCTACCAGACAGGCGAGAAAAGACTTAGGAATATACATGAAGCATGGTAAAATTGGAAATACTATTGGGGGGACATCTGCACGCAAGGAAGTTACCTTTCTTGTGCTTCCCCGCGCTACGTCTTGTATTCGGAGTCAACTATAGTTGTCTTGGATAATGATCTTTTGATTCCGAGATACTGTTCAACTCTATGTATACGTGAGGCCCTGATCAAGATCCACCCAGGAGCTGCTGTGTCACTTGACCCGTATTTAACGAAAGCTCTTCTAAATTCGTACTTCACAGGAGAATTCTCGTTTATTGCGTGCATTTGTTTGTGTTTAGTCAATGTCCTCAGTGTTTCAATGCCGCGCTATTCATCACACTGAATTCTAGCCGGTATCCTCTCGTGATAATTTCGCGTGACACTAGTACTTCGTCATGTCCCAATTGTTTCATAGCGGCCCGGAAACTTCTTTCCAAATCCTCATATCTATTCGAAAGGTCTTGCAATATCGGATCATCACTCAAACCGCGCCTCCAAGAAATCTCTTCCAGTAAAGGCTCACACAGATTGGTGAAGTGTTCCAAAACATGCTTTCCCACCCTTATACCAACAATATCATCGAGTCTTGATGAAGTCCGATTGCTTCCATACCGAACGCAATCACAGAAACTTTCACCATATGTATCAATGCCAACTGCGCATAGACAATCAAGGAACATCATCAGGCAGTAGGTCGTAGCGAAACGTTGTAGTAAAACAGATTCAGAGTCGCAGAGAGTTTCGAGATGGGCTTTGTGTTTATAAAGATCGCGGACCGCGCGAGCGACGCATCTCAAGCATCGCTCCTTGGTATCTTCACTGAGTTTGCGTGGTACACTAATTTAGCGGTCAATAATCATTCGAACTCGTCTGTCTTTACCTACCAGCATATAAAATTGACAAAAGTGCTGAGCGCATGGAACAGATCCAAAAGTATGGGAGTCAATTGTTCCGAGTTGTATCCACTGACGGAAACATTTTTGAGATCTGACGCGTTCATATCAGGAGTGACTGAAATGACGAAACTTTGGCAGACTTCGAGACAGACCAAATAATATGGGGTAAGCAGCGAAACATCTTCGCGCCGAGAAAGCAGCAACGTGTCATGTAGTGCGAGAATCCCATCCTCAAGAGAGGCACTATTGATCGCCTCAACAGAGCCTAAACATTTCACAATTTTTAGAATTCGAATCGTTGATATGAACAATTTGTCTCGGTAGGTAGGCTTTGGCGCAGGGTCCATTCGATGCGTAATGAAGAAGTCGACCTCTCTTACTGCACCTAAAAAAAGTCCAAATGAAAAAGGAACTAAACGAAGAGTTTGCCGTTGGAATTTACAGCGATTCTTAATGTTGCCTAACGACAAGTTTTGGAATAGCTAGGGGCAGCGAGATACGTCCCAACGAGCTGTTCGCCGCCTTTAAATTCTGGGGTCTGAGTGGGTCTTTGATCTGACTTAAAATCTGGAAACTGGAACCTCGGAGATGCAGTATGCACTAGTACTAGAATAAGCCAATGAGACCCATTGCACAGTACTTAATATGTGTATTTCTATATAATTCCAGTAGCAAAATAAATCTCGAGACTTCGAGAATCGGGGACTCTCATCCTCCCTTTTCCCTACTCATGTAAGCAAGGATACCTTAACGTGTCTCGCATCATCCGCTCTTTTTGTCTTTTCTTCAGTTAATTCATCCATGAAGATGGCCACGATGTCTCTGGCAACAGCCATATTGGACGACAAACGATGGGGTCCGGAAGAGGGAGGGGAAGTGGGAGAGTAGTGAACGTAAAGGGAGGTGGACTCTTGAAGAGAGAACCGCAGTCCAGGAGGCTTGAATGCCATTCTGTGATACAGAGATAATATATCCTCCGCGGAAGTGGAGCCAAGACTAGGACGAGCTGGAGCTGGCTCACTTCGAATACCACGC